GCGTTCATTTTTTAGTTATCCTGCTCTGTTGAATTCCAAAGGGGAGAGATTTTTCCATGAATTCTAGAATAGTTGAACTTAAAAGTTTGTCTCCCATCCTTATTCTCTTGTTGAAATTGCTTGAATGATCGTTTTAATTACATCCAAAAGAATTTAGATATTATCCAGCTCTTGAATGATTTCCAATTACCTTTCTTCCATTTTTTCCCCCTCTTTCGTTCTCTTCGTGATGTTAAAATATTAGCAAACGAAATGGCTTTAAAATGAAATTACAAAAGGCAAAATTTCTATTACATTTATTTATTTTCTTTCTCGTATTTAAGAAATAGAAATGATTATTTTTAGCCCCCTATTATTATTATTGTTGTTGTTGTTGTTAAGATATCAAAATTCTTTAGTTTAATGTTATGGATACCTTTCTTATACACGTTTCCCTACGGTTCAAAGGTCAAAGGTTGGAGAAAGGTAATAGTTTTCGACGTGCGAAATGTCGAAGGGAGGACTTTGCTCTCATATCTTTCTAGTAACATAAGATGGCTGTTAACACACTTATCTAAACACATTTCGATGACTAAGACTTAATTTATTGTTACGATGACTTTAGAGGGGTTCCATTACAAATTCAATAATTAAAAAATAGCCTTTGGGTGCATTTTTATAACTGGAAAACACGTAATTCTTCCAAGTCTCCATCGAAATCTCTCTCATCTCACCTGTTGCCAAGAGATGTTCAATAAACATTTCTCCAGATATCTTCAGCACAATTTAACGTCAGTATGATTAATGGTTACTTAATAACACTTAATTATTTCTTAATTCTTTAGCCAAAAATCAATTAAGTAGCGTCAATTGGTGAAGTGTATCTGATGTTGACATCTTTTACTGTCGAAAATTCTCATATATCACACCCAAACTATGTTATTATCTGAGTCGTCGAGCATTATTTTTTTTATCAATTTTCCTGAAGAGAAATAGTTTTAACAGAAATTCACATTTTTAAAAAAAGGATATCTTCGAGTGAGACGATAATTAAACGATCCGGAAAATGTCCTGTTTCTTCTGATAAATTTCGGGTCTTTCTGTAGTTTTAATGTGTCTTAAGAATAGGAAAAATAATAATAAAAGAAAAAAAAACACCTCAATAAAATGTCTGGAGATGGAGAGGAAGGAGTCACTAAACCCACTGGACTCAGTTGCCAAACCAGACGTGATTAAGGGGTGAATTAAGTCGCTGATTTATTTTCTACCCTGGTCTCGCGCAGTTTTACTTGAGCTCGATTTTATTACAGTTCATTCGTTCGAGACCTACTAGACGAACGATAAGAGTAAATCTCTCTTGTTTCTGTCACCACGATTCTTTGGTACCTGTCAGGTGTAGTTTATAGATGGGTGGAGAAGCATCCGCCTGGGAATTACAGTTACTATGGTAACCGATCGGGACCCCGTTCTATAGTCTATACGACGATGTAATGTCCCCCCTCCCCATATCGCATTTTCTCTTACATCTTTTCTTCTCGTTTCAGGTGAAGTAGTGAGGGTGAGATTGGCGTACACGAAATGCTGTGCTGGTGGGCTGCACTGCTCAGCTTGCTGACCACCGTTGCAGCCAGAAGAGGTGGTGAGTAATTAAAAAAATAAGTTAAAAAAATTATTATTTTTCTAATTCCTTGACTATTTACTAATTAAATTCTCCAATTTAACTCGTAATTCCTTAAACACCAATACATATTACCGCATAAAAACACGAATTATAATTAATAAATTAACTTTTAAATTTAATAAATTTAAATTTTTAATTTTCAAAGCCGCCATCATCCAATTCCACGAAAGCTCACTTCGATATACACAGGATAAATTTAATTATATTAAAAGCAAGAAAATACATATTCTTAGAAAAGGAAGATGAATACTCTCCTTAATTATTTCTTTAAAAAAAAAACAGAAAAATTTTTTAAAAAATATGCGGAGGAGGATGGAGATAAAACCCTACATCCATCCTGAATGGGTACCAACTTAGGGTTTTTTCCCTTTATAAAGATATTTTTATGAATAGTAATTATATAAATGGGTGTATACGGAGCCATTAGTAATTGATGGAAACAAAACGAATAAATACCATCCATTTTGAAACCCGGACAGCTAATTACATCCACAAATTACATGGAACTAAAGCACTTTTGTTCCTCCTTATACAACAATAGATAAGCAGTCGGATATGGAGTGTTTTGCCAATCCAAATGATTAAGTACAAATTCCTCAGGGATTAAAAGTCTTCCACTAGTTTTATATACTTTAATTAGCTAAGATGCAAACATTCTTCTCTCTACTTTTACTATAGATAATTAGCCTCAAATTTAGTTGCTGTATTTTTTTTTTTATTTTTTCTTTCTTTATCGTTTCATTAATGTGATGTAACTTAGTCCCGTTTGACGCATATTCTTTATTAAGTAGTTATTGATTACTCTTACTCCGCTCTTGGGACGTGTTAGGGTCTTGTAAACTGGCCCCAATAATCATTAATAAGAATTCCAGATCATGACAGCTATTTGTCGTCCGGCATTTATCAATCCTCTTCTTAGTTATGGATTGTTCTCTTTGAATCATTAAACGGTTTGTGTTCTTGGAAAATTGCTCTTTGTTATTGATACAATCCACCCCCGTTGAGGTTAATTAGGGTTTTTTTTTTTAATTAAAATTGCTCGAGTTTATGTGAAAATATGGTCGGTTCTGATCGAAAAATGCTCGAATTTTCAGGAAAATTTCATCGAAAAAGCTCTCATATTGTGAATTCACATATATAAAAATTACCTACGAGCGATTTTTTTTAAATTTATCAATTAAATTTAATGTTTTTTAGATAGTATTCTCGTGCCAACACTCGTTAATTTATTAATCTAGAAATTTTTCGTACTAACATCCGTGCGGACGGCTAATTGAATAAACAAATTGAAAATTCCAACTTTAATTTGCTTTCTTAACGAGAAAACTGCTTATAGAAATGTTAGAAAAGGCAATATAAATGAGTTACGATTCGACAGGAAGTTACGAAATATGCGGACAGATATACAGACAGGAGAAGACAAAAGCCATTTCCGCAATACGATAAAAATTCTTCATAATCACCATCATTTTCTCATTATAATTTCTATACTTTACGAGAAATTTTTGCAGACGGATCGACAGACGTACACACTATATAAGTAAAAACACAAAATTTTAACAGTTTAATAAAGTTATCTCTCTATTACCACGCAACTATCTTAGTTTTCGAGATATTTGGCGCACAGACCTACAGACAGACGGGAAAAAAAGATGGAAAAATATGATTAGATAGTTTATAATTAGACCGTTGTGGCCGATAATTTCCATACCAATAACCGTCTTTGTTTCCCGTTATTAGTGTATGGAACTAGCAATTGTCAGCGATATTATACATCTATTGTTTAACATCGGAGATGGTCTTTGTGCCACTGTTACGCTTAGTGATTTGCTAATTCGAGTTGATTGGCACATCACGAGCTGTCACTTACAAGAGGTAACTCAACTTACTGTAATAATAGGACCATTATATGGATTACTCGCTATAAATTTCTTGTCTTTGTTTCGTGTTAGCCCGAAAAATTCGACGGGGAAAAAAAAGCAACGTAACATATTGCCTACACATGCCTAATTAACATAGTAATTAAAGATCAATCACATACTTAACGTGCCAATTACCTTATCGTAACTATTGCCGTTATTAATTAAAAAGTGTGATGGTTACTTCACGATCTTCTAACCTCGGAATTGCGTTATTCGTCACGCGTGACGCGCGGTAACCAATTGATTAAAAAGGAAGTAAGTAGATTCACTGGCCTGAATCTACAGTAATAATGCAATGGCTCTTCTAATTTTGTATGAGTTTGCACAGATTTCTGCACCCGCTTCAGGCATTAATACTTCTTCTTTACACATTTCAAACTTTGTTATAGTCAACTTTTAATGTTTTTCAAGTGGCTCGAGATGTTTAATTACCCAAAACTTTCTTCTTCGTCGAAGAATTTTAAGGATTTTCTAATTGCGTAACATTATGGTAGAAGTAAATACTGTGATGGAAGTAAATTCGTGGATCTTTCTATAAATCATGATTAGTTTTTATGTCAGAATAACGAACAGACATACAGACGCACGGCTATTCTTCCACAGATTAGGACGAATTTTTATAACGGATCTACGAACAGACATACGCTTCAAAAAAAACAAATTAATTTATGAATTTTTCCCATAAATTATGATTAATTTTTTATATCAGACATACGAACAGACTTACTCTAGAAGCGAATTTTATATGAATAAAACAGATTTGTTTTTTCGCATTCGAACATACAAACAAGACGAGCTTTAATATTATGCATAGACACGATCTACAAGGAGACTGTTAATAATTTTATTTTTATTAAATTATTTTAAAAATATCCTGAAGATATTATTGAAATTATTTGTGCACAAACAGTNAAAAAAAAAGAAATATCTAAGTAGAAAAATAATAAAATGCATTATAACACGCTGAAATTCCATTATGTAAACTTAATTACATAAATCATCTTAAGGTGAGCTGGTTAATATAATTTTTTAGCATCTGCACATGTTAATTATAACTTCGAACCGGATCGTGATAGAATTTAAGCGAAGCAGAAGGCATTTTTGCAATATTTTCATTACTTGTAAATCAATTATTAAATTGCATTACAACAATAACTTTTATCGCTAAATGGAAGAGACTATTGACAGGTGTAGGAGATGGTCACACCTGTCTCTACTGTCATTATTATTCGCTTTTACAGGAATAGAAGTTTAGATGCACCTGCACAAGATGGCAAAGGTCCATATGGGAATGAAAAGGCCATAAAATCCGCAACGGTATCTCAAAAGGGAAAAGAAATAACCCATCATCATTATTATTATTTAAATTAATTTTATTATAGAATTATTTAATTAATTATTGTAATATGTTAGAAAAATTTTATGATTTTTTATTTTGGTAGAATAAAGAAATTGTAATTGCTGCTAAACCTCTGAACAACGGCCACTGATGGGTACGTAAAATGTGTCCGTTCTTCGGAGGTTGCCGTTGTTTGGAGGTTATTTTGTATGAAATTCAAAGGAGAAACGTCCCTGAAAAAATTGGCCGCCGTTTACAGGTGGCCGTCATTAAAGGTTCGACTGAATTTTAGTCGTAAATCATAAAAATTTTTGTGCTTTATTAACAGTAAAAATCGATAATTTTCTACGTATGTTAAATTATATATAATTTTCCTGAATATGTCTGTCCGTCACGCTCTGTATCTTGAGAAGTGTTTATTAGGCTATACGTGAAGGCAATTTATATACTGCTTTCTATATGAAAATATACCGAAATAATAATTTTTTTAAAGTGTTTTTCAATTATTGTAAGAATAAAATGAAGGTTTTTAAGGTATACGCGTGTATAAAATTAATATAAAAAATATTAATATATTATATTCGCCATTTTAAAACATTTAATCATATAAAATTTGATATTAAATCATTTTCGGTATTCAGTTTGCGAAGAATGTTGCGAAGAAAGTCAATATTTACTGTATTGCGTGACGCGTTGCGACGCGACGCGACGCAACTATAAGAGAGAGAAAACAGAGTAAATATAGAAATATTATGCTAATAAACGGTATCGTTGCAGGAAAAAAAAGTGAATAAAAATAGATAACAGAATAGCAAAAGTTTAACTGGAATGGCGATAGAAAGCGTCGTAAATTCCTCACTTCAACAACGTGATTCACACGATAGTTTCGTGCGACAGCAACAAGGAAAATATATGTTGTATATTTCAAATATAACAATCGACGACAAATTCTTATACAAACGTTACAAATATCAGAGATTTAAATGTTTGTTTACATTGAAAAGTGTACGAAAAATGGCACACGCTATCGAAAGTAACGTCGCGTCGTTTCGTATAACGCGTTGGCCTCATATTTTCTGCACGCTGTAAAAAAAAAAAGTTAAGGATATTTAATGGCTAGTTTGCTCTCCATTGTTATCGCACTTTTTGCAGAGTGGATAACTTGTATAGTTTTTGGTAGTGGGATGCCTTTGACAGGATTCTCTTTGTCTGATGTTGGGACTTATACGCGTCATTATATCTTGTCGTGCGTGCATCCATAATTGTTATCGGGGGGTTGGGTTTTGTTCGAGGTAGAAATTCTTTTTTTTTTATTTTATTATTTTTTTTTCCTTTTTATTTTCCCGAATGCTAGCAAAGTGATTCATTCATTCGCTGGCTCATAGAGTGAATTCGTCTTCGATTAATTGACGTTCATTTATCATTGGAGTGATAGCGTGATGTCAACTCGATGAAATAATTTGTGGATAAGCTCATCCGATTGTAAAAAAATGAATTGATTAAAAAATACCTTCTTACTAATGTCGCTATATAACATAAATTTTTTTTGGGGTGATGCATAAATCAAATGAGGGTTTCTTTCACCGAAATGAAATCATTTGGAACAAAAAGTGATGAAGCGAATACTCATTATGACGTGTGGTGATGCTCTACGGGTTTGTATTGTTGTAGGTTCCAAGGGTACACTTTTTTCTGTTTTGTATTATTACAAGTTTCGAGTTCTTGTTTTGTATTATTATAGGTTCTAAAGTTCTATGTACTTTCGCTTCTACAATTTTACAGATTCCAAGTAGAAGCTTTGTTTATATTTATTTCATAGAACAGAATCTTGAAAGAGAATTTTCAGTTTTAACTAAAGAGTAAAGTAATCTGTTCTTTTAAGATTCTGTTCTATGAAATAAATATAAACAAAGCTTCTACTTTGAATCTGTAAAATTGTAGAAGCGAAAATACATAGAACTTTAGAACCTATAACAATACAAAACAGGAAAAAAGTGTACCCTTGGAGCCTATAACAATACAAACTCATAGAGCATCATTGTTCCAAATGAGTGTTCTAGAAATGTCTTCTAGAAATTTAACTTAATATTCTATAAATTTCTTTAATTCAAAATCTAGAAATTTCTGTTCTAGAATCTTAAATTAGCGTTGAGTTTTGTATTTTGTTCTCTGATTTTAGTTGTTTGTTTTCTAGAATTGTATATGAATATATATATATTTTATTGATCCTTGTAGTCCTGNGAGAATATATATATAATATATATATAAAGATACCATTCCTGCACAAAACAGTACGTTCTGGAATTTTGTATAAGATTCTAGAATACTCTTCGACTGTAACATTGGTTAAACAGTAAAATTGTTCTCTGTATTTTTATAGGCCTTTAACTTTACAATTCAGTTTTAGATTTTAGTTATACAATACCGAAGTAGAATTAAATAAATGTTATTTTTTATTTCTTTCTAGAATCTTAGCTTTTTAGAAACAAAGTATCATTAAGAATAATGCTCTCTTCAAAATATTATAAATTCTTTTTAGTTGTATATTATTATAAATTCCAAAAGTCGGTTAGGATTTCTGCTAAAGATAAAGTTAAATTCTTTTTAAAATCGATTAAATTCGGAAACGATAGCGAAATTTTTTATTGTTTTAGGTCAAAAGGAAGGAAAAACAAATTCTTTTTCAGAGGAAATAATGTAAATCAAAAATGCTGTCCTCTAGATAAAAGTATCTTTAGTTACTAATAAAAAAGTTTTTAAAAAAATATTTTAAACGTTTTATATCGAGATACGTCTTTAAAAATAAAAGTAACGTTTTTAGTTTAAAGTTAAAAGAATATATAAATCGATGGAAAACACGAAAATTCGATTTTAAGTACAACGAAATCTAGTCTAAAAAACATCTTGTTACTATATCGAAAACATCTAAAAACTTATAACATACAGAAAGGATTCTTTATAGGATTATATTTTTATTTTTATCAAATATAATTGATTTTTAACGGTAAACAAGTATGAAAAGTCGGGAGTAGGAGTTTTGATACTTGTTTTATGTGAAGAACTGTAGAGGAAAGATAACGTTTAAAAGTATTTATATAGACAATAATTCAATCATTTTATCCTTCCTTATTTCTTTTATTGTTTTCCAAAGAGTATCATTTGCATTACAAATGAATTCAGTCGAAAGATTATTCCAGAGAATTTCCTTTATCTTTAAGCATCTTTTATCACATATCGCTGTAATGGTTTCGTTTTACAAATGCCTAAAAGAGCAGAATTGCTTTTCATTCGACTATATCTACTATATCCTATATTCTACCTGAGCATTAACATACACCATTAATTTCGCATTACGTCTTCTACAGCCAGCAATAATCGTTAAGCTAACATTTAACGCAAAGTGCACCGTTTATAATAGGTACTACATAAAGGAATCGTCTTGAAGAGGAGGATATCACTTTAAAACGTATCGTATTACGAAACGTTTGCTTTCCAGATTACGTTACGATTTACGATTTTCGACTTTTGCAGAACGACTAAAAAAAGGAAAAGTTTAAGTTATTGGCATGGAAAACGGTTCTTGTTGAATGCAGTCATTTCCATCCCTAGGTAAAGAGTTGATACGGATGCCAATGGCATATTACGACTTGATGTAAAGTGCTAGAATGAATAAATAAATCCGTAAAGATAGCAACAAATTGAATTTTTGAACATTTTATGTTAAAGTTCGAGTTATGGTTGTGTTCCTTCAACATATTTCTTATTCCTAAGATCTCCTTTGCCCTCTCGCTCGTGTCAAAATACTCTATTTTTATATATAGATTTCAGTCGAAAACAAAATGTCACGCTTAAATTTTCGATCAAAAAAACATTGTTAAAAATGTATGATATCAAATTTCTGACAGGTATTTTACTTGTTTTAAAATATATAGAAACTCTCTCTCTTTCTCTCACCCCCTTCCCTTAATATTGCTGCCAAAGAAAAATTGAAGGGATTGTATTATTGATGTAAAGAGCATTAGGAAAAGCGAAAAATATGCTATAAAAAATAATAATGCTCCTTAATGATGCAAGTAATAATAGGAGAAATTAATATTCTCTAAGTAATGACGATAATAATAGAAAAAAATGACTGCTCTTTGCTACTATAAAAATCGATATTCTAGCTGGGTAAATGATATAAAATATTATCTTAATATAAAAAATTATAGAGATCCTTAATGCTATAAATAATAATAGGAAAATAAGAAAATTCGCCTTATTAATATAAAAAAGCTTGGCTTTAACGAAGCGATGTTAATGCTACTTCGTGTTGTGAATACGAAATTAAAGCAAATATAATAGTGGAAAAATTGAAAATTTTTTTTATTATTTATATAATTTACAATATTTTATCTTTATTCGTTTAAATAAAACGATTTTTAATCGCATAAATAACAATAATGTAAATTAAAAGTACTCTCTTTAATAAAATAAATAAATAAATTGCAAAGTAGTTTTTAATTAAAGCAATTCATAGAAAGATCATTAATTGGTAGTGGAAGGGTAATTAAAATCCGAATAACATAACGATAAGAGATATCTGTTAAGCATCATCTTTCTTAAAAGATGGCTGGTAATCATCATTAGCTAAAAGACTTCATTTAAAATTACTTAAAGTGACAATAGTCAGAGGAGGGTCTCGCACTCGTCGTTCATCAAACAGAAATGGCCAAAACTCATTCGTTTATAACCCGACATCAATTATAAGTAAAGAAAAGTAGGTAATATAAATCAAAACGGCCCACACATAATAGTAGCTAAGCTAGTCGACAAATATTCTTTTCCGTTCATGGGACATCCCCATTAGCTGTAACCTCGTGACACGCTGTGATTTCTTATTGCTTCCGTCTCATTACCCAAGCCCCATCATCTTCGATCATCTTCCATTCCTGGACGTATCCTAAGTGGAGATGGCTTTGATTTATGTACAACTGAGTACCACGTATACAGTCTTTCTGTCTACATAAGGTATTTTTGGTGATATATATCCTTTTATGGTTTCTATACACCCGTGTTTACTTTATGAGTATTTTTCTCTTTGTTTCGTTCGTTTTAAGCGCTTCGATGGTCATAATGGTTAATTTTTTCAATGTTCAACATTATTTTAGAATTTCTACAATATTGTATCGGATGGTTTTATTGAGTTTTTTGCCACACTCGACCATTTACGATATCTCTTCTTCGAAATAAATAAATATATGAACTTCTCATTTTTCTTTTCTATAAAAGTTTA